TGCACCCTTTAAGAAAAATTTGCTGTATGAAAAAATAAAATAATTTTTTTTATATTTCTTTATATATTATATTTTTCATATGTTATGATTGATAAATATTAATGAACTATTTTATCCTTTTATAAGAAAATTTATTTGTCATTCATTTAGGAATTTCAATAATGCATAAAAAAACATTTGTCTAAATGTGTCATACATTACCTTTATGTAATAATGAAAAAAAAAATTCATCATATGTATTCGTTTCCTATATATAATTGATTTTACACAATAATACGTTATTTTTTATACATCATATAAAATCTATTACTCTAATAAATTCATCACCTTTTTGCATAATATATAAAAAAGAAATAATTCTTTTATACTTTACTATTATGCGAAATCCTATATTTAATTATGAATATAAGAATGAAAATTTAAGATTATATTATTTTTATAACATGTAGAATAGCACATGTACAGCAAAATAGTAATATATATGTAGTCTAATATCATTCCTAATTCAAGGAACATCTATAAAGTTTTAATGTATTAGCCTTATAGATTTAATATGTCCTTTAATATGTCAGATTTTGAGAAATTTATATGATCATAAATAATATAAGAAATTTATATTTTTTTATTAAATAATTAAAGTAATATAAGAGATAAGCATTATAAAAAAATATTTAGTGAATTATATTGGAATAAGCCAATAAATACACTAACAGAAGTACTATATTTTACTTATGTGTAGTTATATATATCATATTAGTTATTATATTTCACAATAAGGAGAATCCTTTTAATATATCGAGCAAGAATAATTTGAATATATTGGAATTCCGGAGAAATAAAAATACGAAATATAACAATATATTATAATTTAATTTTACATAGAATAATGACACATAAAAAAGAATAAATAAATAAACACACTATATCAAAACACTGTATATTCATTATTATAGTTTAACTATTTTACTAAAGCATTATAATATGTCATGAAAAAATTAATAATCCATTAAAATTACAAAATATATGTGGGAATAATATACAATATAGAAACTTACATTTTAATTATTTTTTGTACATATAGTGAATATCCATGTAATATGTATAATATATAAAATAAACTATAAATAATACATTTATTCGTAAATATATATATATATATATATTCAAAGGATAACATTTATTTACAATATAGACACATTAATTTATGTATAATAATAAAATAATAAACAACGTGTATTTATCTTACTAAAATATGATTAACATAAAATAAGGTTTATTCATTTATTGTCTTTTTAACATTTCTTATAAGCATTTAATCAAAATACTAATAATTATTAAGAAAATTATTACAACAAAATATGTAGCGGAGAAAACAAATTTTTAAATAAAAATATATATACAGACCTATAAATAACAACCCATGAAACCTAGTACACATTTTTTAAACTAAAGAATAGTATTGTTATGATAATATATGTGAACTCTATAAAGAAATTAAAGACACATAAATAAAGTTGTTATAATGAAATAATTGATTAAATTATATAATTTAATTCATTATGAGATGTGAAAACATCATTAAAATAGAGCTATATATATATACAATATTATCACAGTTATATTGTTTATACTATGATATTATAATATATATCCAATGATGTGCACTTATTTTTGATTTTTATTATTTTTATTAAAAAACATTCATCCTACACAGATATAATAGCACTGACGCAGTTTAAAATATATTAATAATTTAATAAATTAAGAAGAAATATAAATTATGTGAAATTAAAAAAATTATATGAATAAATGCATGTGATATAACAAGTATATTTATTCAGATATTTTGATATAATAATAGTTTATTATGAAATGTATAATAATACATATTCATTTACACATATATATAATATAAAATAAGTGGCAGAAAAAGAGGTTAATGAAGGCGTATTATTAATAATCTTATTAAAATTATGATTTGTGAGCATAATTTTAAAACATATTGCATATTGAAATTCAAGCGCTAAATTTTTCTTAAAAATAATAATTATCATTTTTTTATTGATTATAACATTAATTTTTAACTCGGTTATACCTACGTTTATGCAATATGTACAAAAAAATTTACATGAGATATAGGGAATTTAGAGGTGCTCCTGAGGTTGATCATTTTACAGAGCTATGTAATAATTTTTATAAAAATGTAAGAAAAGATAATAATTCTACAGATATCTCTATATATTGAAATTTCTTGATCTAAATTTAAATAATGTAGAAACAAATAATGGAATAGTTAATAAAAAAGAAGGATGTAGTTATTTTTGTTGTAAACTGAAAAACACTATAATGGATAAATTTATATTTAACTGTGAGAATTATAATTATTGTTAAGAAAAATGACACAAGGATGTGTAGAAAGATTCAAAGTAAGGATATCTAATATATAGATATATCATATTAGCTATTATAAAAATATTAATAAAAATATATTTCAATTATTTGAAAACTTAGATGAACTATACAACAAAATTAACATATTTATTACTAATGAAAATCTATATTGGAGGTTTTTGACAAATTTAGGTGAGTGATATGATTCTCAGAATACTGTCAAAGTATGCATAACGAGTGTTTTAGTTCATTACTCGTAAACGCTAATAATGCATTTATAAACTTTGTAAGACGATTAAATACTAGTTCTTAAAGATTAAGTACATCCTTAGGTTATTTTACGAAGTTTTAGGTTTACAGTTTCATATATATAACAGTTTATGCTTTTTTCACTATCATATAATTCCATAACAATATTAATAATATGTAACTTATACACGTAAAAAAAAAAAAAAACTATGAATTAATAATATTATTAAAAAATATTCACTATTAAAAAATTTTGTTAATTAAAATTCATTTATTTGAGAATTTTTATCAGATAAATAATAAAATATTTTACCATTTATATTACTCTATTTCGGATAAAGTAATGGGAAATATCATTTTTTACAATATATTGTATATAACTTCATATGGATGCAATGAGTATTATATAAAAAAATATATATTTATTTTAAATAAAATATATGAATGATATGGTATCGATTATTTTCCCCTCTAAACAAAAAAAGTATTATTAAAGAATTACCATATTTTTTTTTCAATTATTACAAATAATGCTGTTTCTCTTGACACTTAGCATGGTTCCCATTGTATTTCAAAAATGAAAATTATGTTTTCAATATACTAATGTTAGACGAATTTTATTGCAAATTTAAAATAAAATATTTACTTATGTTTAAATGATATATAAATTTTACTTTATTTTATAGCTATGTACTCTATATGACAAGTATAAAGATATATGTATAATATATATATTTAGCAATTAGCGTAATATTCATCTTCTTCCTTATTTCACTTAAAGTAAAATGTAATATTATATTCTGCATATGTTATTGTTTATAAAATAAGTGGTTTAATATTAGATTACTGTAAAAAAATTTCATAAATGCTTTACAAGTCTTTTAACAATAGTCCAATTTCCTTTGGCACTTTATTATAGTACATTAATAAAAAAAAGTATAAAATTTTTTAAGTTAACACATTTGAGCTAACAGAAAATTTAGTATATTTTGGATCATAACAAATAGAATATATATCGATAAACGCAACTTATCAAAACATACTAATTTTATTATAAGATGTTGTGAAACATCCAAACTCCATTTATTAACATTATAATGACAAGTAATGTATTTTTAGCACAGCATTTACCATTATGTTACAAATTAAAAATTAGATATATAATAATTTACCTTTAATGGTTACACAAATGGAATGATAACTATTCAACACGTTAACCTTACATTATATTTCAAAACTGATATGTGTTAATTAGGATAAAACACGAACAAGCAATAATAAATAATAATCCAGTAATGCGTTCTCAACATTTTTGCATATAGGGCAGATATTTATTAATTTTCTATCTTTTTGTTTTTATTGCATAATTTTTCTTTATACGTGTGTTTTCATGAATATGTGTATAATCACTATTGTTGCGATAATCTTTATGTTATATTTATTTATTCTAACTGAAAAAAAAATAATTTCATCAAAATGAACTATTAATAGTCTGACATAGACCAATTTAGTGTGTAGTGTGGAATAGAAAAAATGTAAATTAAACCATTTATGAATAATTTAAAAATATTTTTTCATCATTGTTTTCCAAATAACATAAAGGAAGGATTTCCAATATTTTCTGATTTTCTTGATAAACCAATAATTACCAACTCAATTTTAAAAATGTACTTTTTATATTTTATATCATTATAATATAAAACTATATGAAGATTTATTAAAACTACAGATGGTTTATTTTTTTGTTAAAAATATTTAGCAGTTATAATCATATACAAAATAACAGTACTCGTGTAAAATACATTATTTAAGAATTTCAATGTTTATGTTTCATCGTGAATTTTAAATAAATATAGAATGTATAAATTATAAGAAATTGTACTGCAAATGAATATATGAGACTTGAATTTGAATAGAATGACATATATTTACATCCTAGTGTAGTGTGCTTATATAACTCTTATAAAAGCGCACTTTTAAAAAAAATAAATCTAAGAATATTAATAATGACATATATATATTAAACAAAAAAAAAGAAAAAGAAAGTAAATAAATGATACGAAATTTTTACTAAAAAAATGATAGAACAAATTTATATTTTAAACATACAAAAATATTAATTAACTAAGTATTTAAATATTATTCTATGGATTGTTATTTTATTTATTAAGCATAGTTATCATAAACATATTTTTAATAAAAGCATGCATATACATATTAGTCATATTTAAAATACAGTTAATGGATAAGCGTTTTACACACTATCAAATCATTAATTTGTAAAAAACAAAAAAATGTTGTTTTTATACAGCATGCTTGGTCAAATCATTAAATTAATTTCAAAAATATAAAGAAATTAATTATGTAATAAAAAAATATTCAAAATATCGTAAACCTAATAATATACATTCATAATTGATATGTATCAAAATAGTGCATATTATGCATGTTCTTTGCTTTATTTTGAAAATTAAGCACTGAGCAGAGATAGCACTACTTTTTTTTTTTTTTACGATTTCATATTATTTGTCAGAGCTTTAAAATATTATAATATGAACTGTAAATTTTTTTTTATATATTAAACTAATATGTTATACTTTTTATGTTAGATTTTTTTACATGATTATTTTTATTTTTATAAATATATCGTACCACGAAAAAAGCATAACCAACAAAAATGTAAGGGAGTAGGGGAAGAAATGCAGGTATTAATACTGTAACTACTGGAAATAATGCTGCTAAACCATTTTGTTTCAATTTTTTTGTAGAAATTTTATTTAAAGATTTTCTCATAATTTTTCTGTTCACTCCATAAGGTTCCTCATATTTGTCTAAATAATATAATGAATCAAATATTTTATCTTTACAATAGCTATTATCCCTTTTAGTCTCACTAGAGAAATTCCCTTTTTTCTTAATCCTCATATCTTCTTCTAGTTCTGGATATGACTCATAATTCTTGAATAATGTTTCATGTTTTGTATTGATATTTGATTTCGTATCATTTATTATGTAATCATAATCTACTAAATCATATTGTGATGACACATAATCACAATTTTCTACATCACATAACGACGACTTGTAATCATAGTTTTCTAAATCATATTGTGATGACTGATAATCACAATTATTTATATTATATGTTGACGATATGTCATCACACTCTGATAATTCTTCATTAGCACTTTCACAATTAAGGAATAAACTGTCGCAAGAATATGTAAATTTTGAATTCGCTCTTTTGCTATTTGCTAATAAGCGTTGATTTATTATAACAAATTCCATCTTTGTATTTAAATTTGTATTTAATGATTTAACAAATATATCCTAAAAATAAAAAACAATACATAAATTTTTATTATTTAAAAAGATGTAAAGATCATTCTATTTCGACACTAAATCAGTAGAGTTTTATAAAGTAAAAACTTAGAATGAAATTATAATATAAACAGAATAGCATCTTTATTATAATCATTATATACTAAATCATCATAGTCTTGGATTTTCCATGTTAAAAGTAAGATAGGGATGGCAACTTTAAAGAAATTGAAAAATTTTAAGATTTCATTCATTGTACTCCTCATTGATACTGCGGAATAATCGTTATGGTTATAAATATAAAATGAGTATTATAATGCTAATAATAAAAATTACAATAAGGTTTAATAACTTAAATCTATTTGTTTATTTCTGTGTTTTTTTTAAAATAAATAAATGTTACCCTAAATATAACATAAATGGAAAAATTATAAAGGAAATTAACTAAAAAGAAGTTCTAGGTATATTTTTACAAAGCTATTTATAAAAAGAAAAATAATAAAATTATTAAGATTATAATAATTAATTTTTAAAATTATGAAATTTTTAAAATCAATAAAATCTTTCAATGTAATAAAATATTAAAAAGAAATAAAATTATTCAGATGAAATTTCTTAAACTATAATGAATTATCAGAATATATAAATTACCTATTTTATTGTTACGTCTATAAAGACATTTTTAAGTTGTAATTTTTTAAAAAAAATGAAAAAATAAAATAATCATTTAAAAAAAAAAACCATAAAAGTATTTATAACACGCAGAGTTATAAATTAATAAGTAATATATTTCTCCACTATAAACAAAATCAATAGTTACAGAATATACTTTTTCCTATTTTTACTAAAAACTATTTTTGTTCAAAATTAATTCTAGTGGAAGCATTTATAAACTTAAACATTATTTTAATTATAAAATAATTATATATAAGAATTATAAAATGTTAAAACACTATTTTTTATAACTATAAGAGTGGAAAATTACTTAATAATAAGAAACCCCAAAAAAAATGGTATTGAGCTCATTATTTTATAAAATATGAGAATTGATAAAATAATTAAAATATAAAAATTTCGACTTGAGATTTGACAAAATAACATTTTACCTTTTTAAATAAAAATAGAACATAATAAGGTTTTAATTTTGAATTTCATTATTTTAATGCACATTTTCAGGGTTCAGGCTTTATGTTTAAGTTTCATGGTTTAGAGATAGGGGTTAGGATACATAATTTAGTGTTAAGGGTTTATTTTAATGTTTTATTATGCTGATGAATGATATTATTTTATGAGTATCAGTGTATTTATAATTGTTTACATTCTTATAAGTTCATTGTTCATTTTGAAAAAAGTACATTTTAAGTTTTAGAATATATTGATCATTATATCTAACCTTCGGGGATGTAGAACGCGAATGTTTGAAACAGAGCTGAATTACAATAGGTGATAATACTGTATGAGGAACTTTGCAAAATTGATGCAAAATGTATAAATCCTTTATTATGAACTATATGAAATTCAGAACATGTGAAAATCTATATATAAATCATATATGCAAAAAGAATAAATATATTATCATGGCAATATATATATTTGTGAGGGTAAATTATACTTATTAATTTTTTTATTTATCTTGTCATTAGGTAATCTTTGAATATTTAATGAATTTATACTGAATGTATATATTTTATGAATGTCCATGCATTATACTTAATAACTATGCAATTACTTTATATTTTGTTAGATAGCAATTTATTTTTATTCTGTTATATTTTTTATTCTAAAAATATGTAGGATAGATTTTAAGATATATTCACTTGTACACATTAAATATAGACATAAAGTATTCGTCTAATAATATATCATTAAAAGAAAAATGTTGCGAAATAAATATTTATATATATATTTATTATTGAGATGTGCAGAATATGCTACATTTGTGTTACAATGGCTATATAAGAGGAATTACATTATGAACGTTTTTACTATTATATATATTTTTAATAAATATTATAACAGCAATTACTTCACTAAATTATTTTCCAGATTTATATGGATAAATTTTAATAATTATAGAATATATTCTTATGCTAACCTTAACAACATACACGTCTATCATGTATAGCATATGTTAATAATAAAATTAAAAAGAATAATAAACATATGGGCCTGATAGTTTTTCCTTCATAAGAAAAAGTTTTATAAGATAAAATGAATCGTGGAATCTATAGAAAAACATGAAAATTGCTTAAAAATAATTAAAAAAGGCGCTAATTATTACATTCATATAAAACCATAGGAAATTGTTAAATACATATAGAGCAAGTAAAAGGACAAATGGAACATTAAAAGAGTAGAAAAGATAAATAGCACGAATAGTCCTCATATATAGATTAATTTATCAGTTGAAAATTACAAGAAAAGAACTTAATATTTGAAAAAATCATTTTGGCTAAACATTTACATGTCTGTTTTAAAATTTCACAAGTAGGTTACTGAATCATTGTGTAAAGCTAATTAAGTTTGAATCAAAATTAAGAACAAAGAAATTATAAAATTATATTATGTGTTTCCAGATTTAAAAAATTAAATCTATAAAAAAAAATTAAAATCACTTTTGTTACAATCATTTTTAAATAAATAATAATAATCCCGTATTAGGAAGAAAAAATATTCATGTATAATAATTAAAATTAAATGTGTAAATATAATGAAATGAATAAGCATTAAAATTATTTGGTTCTTGATGACCCTAATAAACAACAATGAAGTGTAAAATGTTTATAACTTTTTTTTTTTTTTTTTTTTTTTTGTGTTTAAGATAATAATTCCTTAAGAATTAGAGTACCCACTAGTTACTAATGTGTAAAATCCTCATTTAGATAAAATGAATAAAATTAAAATTAAAAAAGTATTTTAAATCTAAAATTATTTTTAAATAAAAATTAAATTATCTAATAGCACAAATGTTACTAATTTTTGAAAAAAAATTATAATATAAACAAATTAATTTTAATGCAAACTATACTAGATCAATATGAGATTTTTGATAGAATAGTGTAACGAAAGAACTTTTTTCGCAGTTTTCTAAAATTACCCATAGATTTACAACACTGTTATGGAGTACTATGATATTTCCTGATGTGGAAAAATTTTATATTTTGAATTGCGAATTTACACATAGATTAGATTGTTGTACATTAAAAAAAAATTAAATAAAAAAAACAAGTTTTTTTTTTTTTTTTTTTTTTGTGGTGTAATTTATTAAAGCTCTTCTATAATATATATTATGTGCTTTTAAGCTCCTGATTTCTACACACAATTTTTTCCCTAACATATAAAACCTGAAACATAAAATTAATGGTTTTTCCAGTAATCTATGTTCTAGTTGGTGTACGTATTTTTTTGTGTAATTCAGTTTCTATATATTTTTACTCCCTTAAAAATGTTATTTATCTATATTAACACTTCTCCTGCTTAACAATGTTGTAAAAAAGGAGAAAAAAAAAAATTGTTTTCTCTACACTCTTTTTCTATTTTATCTAAATATTTATCTTTCAATTGTAAGGATGAGCCATTCAGCATCATATTTAAATTAATAATAATAATTTTAGTTAATTTTTTTAATGTGATTTTTTTTTTCCTTTACAATCAAATATAGATTTTCCTGTTTTTTCCATTATAATCTTAAGATAATGTAATTATGTATGCTATACATATATATTAATCTACGTGTATAGGATAAGTATTGACTGGATTAGCTATATGCGAAAATTAATGCACACTAGGGCTTTCTAATTATATATATGATTAAGCAACACTTTTTTAAAACAATTTGGATGAAATATTTTTGATTAATAATTAAAAGAAAAGTTTCCACTTCGTTTATTTAGTATATACAGAAAAAAAATAAATGATTTGGACGTTATTGTATAATTTTATATTCATCATATTAGGTACATTTAATTTAGAAATGTATATAAATGAGTACGTACATATGTATACTTGAATGCATATAATAACTTTTTGAACGTTTACACATATATACATAACTGTCTTTTTTATTTATTTAAATAGAAACATGTCAAATTATTCATCAAAATATATAATAATTTTACTTGTATATTTTTATTTGCAGTGTCAAACATAGATGTTAATGGAAGAACATCCAGGAAGCCTCAGAAGAAATTAAAGTTCCCCATATTAGATGGAAATATAATTCGAAGTAATCAATTCCAGTATGAGAGTGAAGAAAAGAAATATGAAAATAATAAAATTAATGGTGATGAGAAGAAAAAATCACATGCATATAATAATATTTCATCTTTTAGAGCTCCGGAAAATCATGGATATGGAAGAAAATCACCATATTATTTGCACATAAAAAGAGACGGTGAATACAGACATGATACAAACTCAAATAATGAGTTAAGTATAAACGAAAAATTGAACACTATTTCAAATGCATTCATTCAAAATGGTAGAGTTACAAAAGGTAAAAATAAAAACACGCCAAATAACGCTCCAAAAGTAAATAATCCTCGAGCTTCATTAAATTTGCCTTCCCCCCAAAGTAGCACACTATCGAACACAACTGAAAATTTAGATTACATGGATGTGACATTCGATTCTATTTTTCCTGTAATTTCTCAATTAAGTCCATATTTCGCTTATATTTATTTTTTTGATGAAGTTAAGCGTATTTCAGTATCACATCAGGAAATTAAGGCTAGATATGATCAAATTTATAATAATAATGTCCAAAAACTTCTCAATGAAATACCCAAAGCAATCAATAGTTGTAAAAATGAAAAAGATGTATTGAAAAGATTAATAAATACATTAGAAGATCCAAATATGTTAAAAAAGGAAAATATAGTATACGATAAGAAATATAATGAATATGAAAATAAAAAGGATGAATTTCTCCAATGTTTACTAAATAAAAATAATGATAATATTTTTGATATGTATGATATGGAAACCAATATTTTAAATATGTTAGAGAATCTAAAATGCCAAATGAGTTGCGATACCAAGACATTTTTCAATATGATTAAAACATACTTAGTAGAATTTGAAAAAATCTCATATACAGAATATGATAATTATATAAATCAATATAAAAGTTCCTATAATTCTTTTTCTAATTATATGAGAAAAATTGTTAAAATAATAGATGATAAATATATTATAAATTCTATAAGTTTTACATTAATGGAGATGAAATATATCATGGAAAGATTTGATTATCACTTGGAAAAAGCTAAAAATTCAATGGATATTGTGGCAAGCTTTTCCAACGTGAATGAAAGAGAGATGAAAATTAAAAAGAATCTTATAGAAAACTATTTTACTGTCAGTAGCAATTATTCTATTTTTAAGCTTAGTGCAGACAGTCTTGTAATACTACAGAAAGCGTTAATACATAAAGAAAAAATAATTAAAAACCTATTTGGTTCAATAATTAGTGATTTAGAAAAAAAAATGACAAATATTTTAGATTCTCTATATTTTATGAGGGAATGTAGTACGATGATATCAGCATCTGAAGAAACATTAAAATTTGCAGAAGACGCATGTAATAGAGATCCCAGAATAATAGAAAGCTTTAAATTGTACACTAATTTGGAGATTACGAAAATTAAAAAAGACTATGACAAGAAAATCATTGAGATAAGGGAAGTTAAAAAGTCCATAGAATTACACACCACATCTATTAAGAGTGCATGTAATGATAATATGATTATAAAAGATTTCATTGAAGATAAAAAGAAATCTACACATTCTGATTCTAGTCCCCAAGAGAAAGTGAAGAATCTATTGAGCATAATAGAGTACATGGATGATAAAAAACAGACCATAACTGATAACGTTAATAGAATGAACGATTATTCCAATAAAAACAAAGAATTAAGAACAAAAATACATACATTAGTAGATGCTGTTAAAGATCAAGAGAAAAATATAGAAGATCTAATTAGAAAAGAACAAGAAATTAGGTTAATCAAAGAAAACATAAAAATTAAATTGGAATATATAAAAGGAATAATAGAAAAATTGAATGACATAATATATATTAATAAAAATATAAACAACGAATTTGAGGAAATTGATAAAATAATTAAAGAAACACTGTTCAACAAAGATGATTTTGATAATAAAAAAACCGAATTACACACCAAAATAAAAGAAACAATGAATACATTTTATTCTGGTGATTTGCAAGTATTTGTAGAAAAATTGTCATCATTTTTAAAAAATCATGAAGTTTTGTACGAAAAAGAAGATTCTAAAGGTAAACTTGAAGAACTGCTAAAATCAACAATTGAAGAGGAAGAAACTCTGAAAAGGATGAAATGTGAAAGTGTTTCTGAAATAATCAACACATTGAAAGGGGAAGAAAAAAAAATTTTAACTCTAAAGAATGACATTATTAATAAACAATTTGAAAATATCCATTCAGAAATGACGAAATTATCGAATCAGTTACAAATAGAATATGAAGATTTTGAACGCAGCGTATCAGATTATGAAGCAGAGAAACAAAAATTAGCAGAACATAAAGATAAAATAATTAAACGAAAAAATATGTTTGCTGAAAATGAACACGAAAATGATGAAGACGTGCCTGAAGGTCAAAATACGTATAACGAATTTGTTCAGGATAAGGAGAATATTTTAAAAAAGGAAACTGTAATTACAAGTAAAATTAATAAATTACGTGAAAAAATACAAAATGTTAAATCTGAATTACAAAAACATGGTGATGTAATGCAAAATTTTGAAATAAATTATAGAAAATCGGCTTCGAATACTAAAGCACTGTTAGAAAAAATAAAAAATGCCAATCATGAATTAAAATTAAATGAAGATGAAAAAAATTTTATCGTTACCAAGGGAATCCTTATGAAAACAATGGAAGAAATTGAAAATACAAAGAGAAATATAGGCACACTTAAAAATTTAAATGTCACATCAAAGCGCTCTAAAGTTAACAAACAAAATATTGAGAGTTTAATAAAAAATAAAGATATTCTTAAAGAAAAAATTGAAATACACATTCAAAACGTAGAGAATGATAAATTAATTGAACCAACATCAAAGACACAATTTATTATGAATTTAAATAGAGAGAAAAATAATATAGACCAACAATTAAAAGACATTTATATCAATGAGTTAAAAGAAGCAGTAGATAAAACGTTAAGTTATTGTCAAACAGTAAGAGAAAATGTTATGAATAATAATGGAACAAGTGCAGAAGTATTAGATAAAAATGAAATTGATTGGGTAGGCATGAACGTTAAAATACAAGAGCTACACGGTACTTACCTAGCGTTAGATAGAAATGTTAATGATTTAATAAATAAGCAGTATGGAGAAATTATAACATTAATTAGTAAACATATAATAGATGAGGGAAACGATGTTGAAATTAGAGCTGAAAAATTTATACATGATCTAGAAAAATTGAAAACAAGGTTGTCTTCCTTTGAAAATAATGAATACATTAAAAAATATGAAAATAGTATAAAAGAAGAACTTGGTAAATTAAAAGCAATGTCTGATAAAATACTAAAAGAAATTGATGAAAACTATGACAAATTAATTATCATTAAAATAAAATCAACTGACTATGTTGCAGAATCAAATAAGGTAAAAAATAAGCAAATTGATTCGAGTGAAAAGAATGATAAAACTAATATGTTCAATAAAAATAGGGATGATATGGAAAAAATAAATGAAAATATCTCACACGCATCTAAGGAATTGGATAGTATAAAAAAAGTGGAGAATATGTCAAAAGAAATAGACATTCTTGAAATTCAATATGATAGAGTTTTAATCAAGCATATGGTTCAAATGATTAATGATAAAAATACGGAGACCTCTGGAATTATGGATAAAATTAAATCATACATAGAAAATATAGAAAAAATAAAAAGTAAAATATTTGATGAAAGACGAAAAAATACATCTGATTTAATGTATAGTCAATATGATGAAGAAAGTAAAACTAATAGCAAAAAAGTAGAGGAAATTCTTGAGAATGCAATAAAAAGAAAAGAGGAATCAGAAAATGGTCAAAATATGGAAAATGTAAAAAATATCAAAAGCGAAGTTATTAATTATTTACAACAAGCTACAGATTATTATAACGCTGTGGAAAAGGCATTGGGGGATATTAAAAATGTGCACAATTTATTATTGTCAACTAATGGTAAAAGTATTGCTGAGGAAATATCCAAGAATACTAGTGAAGCATATACCCTTAGAGAAAAGACAAAAAACGAATTTGAAAAAATGCATAATGTAATTGATGATGTAAAAAAACAATTAGATCAAGCAAAGGACTTGCAAAAAAACATTCATACAGATTTAGATGGCGAACAAATAGATGATAAAGTAAAACAAATTAAACAAATCCACTATAATATTGAAAATAAGAAAGATGGAATTGATGAATATTTAACAAACATCAGAGCTCATAAGGAAAATTGCTTATTGGAAATTCGCAATGCTGAAAGGGGAAAAATTAAAATTGATTTTTTGCAGGAAAATAAAGGAAATCACGAACTGAGGGATATTGCTATAGAAAAAATAAATGAAAATATAGACACTTGTAAAACATATGAAAAAGAAGTTCTTAAAATTGAAGAAGACTCTATAAAAGAGCATGATTTATTCCTAACACTTATTAATAACATTTCCGATGCTTTAAAAGAATCATTAATTTTAGGAGTTGAAACAAAATCCAAAAAAAGAAAAATTGATGCTACAACAATAATGAAGGATATTGAAAAGGAATATACGGAGATTAAAGAAGAACTTCAACAATCCGTAGAATACTTGAACCAATTAGAAAAAAAATACACTATTATCACAGGGGAAGATGAACTCAATAATCAGACATCTATGGATGCAAAGGTATCACTACAATACAACATAGAAAAAGCAAAACATAATTTATTAAAAATAAAAAATATAGAAAATGAAGTGGAATCTATTTCAAGTAGAGCTAAGAATTCATTTGATTTAATGTCAAAATTTTCGGCTTTAAACGAAAGTAATGTATTAGAAAATGTTGAAAAAGAAGCAGAGGAATGTATAAAATATTTAGGAAAGATAAAAGAAGAGAAGAAGTTAATGATGGAAAAACGAGATAATTTCAATGTAATCAAATCAGAGAATAAGAATATCGAAGAAGATCTGAAAAAGCATTGCAAACTTTTTGAAATTGGACTTCTGAACAAGATAAATGAAATGGTTAATAACAAAAAATCATATATGGATTCAGCGAAAGAGCGTTTAATTTCATCCATCAGGAATTTTACTTCTCTCTTTAACGGATTCAATTTAAAAGATTATAAAATTGGAAAAAATTTAGAGGATTACAAAAGAAAAATAAATGAATTAAATAATGAGTTTCTTAAGCTATATGAGTTAATTCAGCATAATGTAAAAAATGGTTCAGAAAATTCGACAGACCCTGATGGAGCGAAAGTTCTCAGGGAAGAATCAAAAAATGAGTTAAAAAAACTTGAAAATATAGAAGAAGAAACAAAAAAATACTTGAGAGATGTTAACAAAATAGAATCATTTAGATTAATACATTACATGAAGGAAAATGTAGATGAGTTAAATGAAAAGTGCAAAAAAGAATATTCCGAAGTCGATGAAGGAAATAATGCTATTGAAAAAATCATTGGAGATATTAAAAAGTTGAAGGACAAAAATAGTTCATCAACAAAATTGGTAGAAGCAATAGAGAGAAATGACGATATAAAAAAAAAAAAAAATCATTTTTCATATAAGATAGATGCGAAAGATATATTTGATCAGATTGTTAAATCAGCCAAATTTATAAACATAACAATTGTAAATGAGTTAAGTGCACAAGCATATTTGCAAAATACAACACCAATGCAACTTGAACCAAACAGTGAAATCATATTTGAGAGTGAACAATTCGCAGAAGATACAGACAAATTAAATGTTCACAAAAATATACAAGATGCATACAATAGTGTTCTTCAGATACATAAACATTCAGACGATATAATCAAAAAACAAGAAGAATGTGAAATGTTAGTAAATGAAGGAAAATATATATGTTTTAAAATTAAATCAATAAACGAGTTAAAAGATACCATAGAAAAAACTAATATTAAAAAAAGTACAATTGCAAATGAAATTAACAATGCTTTTTCTAAATTAAGTGAGTTAAACAGAATAAAGTGCAGCTATGAAAACTGTACTGATATTTTAAAAGAAAATTATGCTGAAAATTTAAAACAACAAAGGGATACATTTAATGAAGCAAAAAGTAGCAATGCAGATAAATCCAAATTGAATGATTATATGAAGAGAGTTGAAAACGAATTCGAATCATTAAATATATTAGAAAAAACTATTGAAATATTAAATGCAAACGAAACGTCCCAAGAAGTCATAGAGGACAAAAAATCATCTATTCTCCAAATTATAACGAAACTGGAAGATATAGAAAATAAAATAAAAGACGTTAATTCTTCCTATGATGAATTACTAGGTAAAGGGAGACAATGTGAAATATATAAGTATACTTCAATAATAAACAGTCTTAACAATCAAATAAATGATTATTCTATAATAATTAATAGGAAAAAAGAAAATATTGAAGAATACTTAAAGCTTATTCAAAATAATTATAGATCCATATATAAAGACGTTGAATCATTAAGTGAAAATCTAGATGGAAAATCAATAAATGGGTATGATAAAGCAAAAATTGAAGAAGCAAATAAGCTTTCATTAGAGTTAACAACAGCAGTTTATGAATATGAAGAAATAATTCATACTATGAAAAATGAATTTATAGTTATAAATGAAAAAACAAAAATTGATGATTTAGAAAATAGTGCAAAAAAACTGAAAATATATTACACCAATCTAAACAATAAAGAAGATATCATAAAGGAATTTCATAATAAAATTAATTTAATTAAGTTGCAAGAAATAAAAGCGACTTCTGAAAAATATTTTGATATTGCTAAGATTTTTACAGATGTATTAGAGGATCAAAAAAAAGCATTAATGAATACTCAAAATAAACAAAATGATCTTAAACATAAAGTAACGGAAATTGAAAAAGAATTAATTAACCTTGACATTTCGTTCACACTAGTATCTATTAATGCATTCGATGAAATATATAAAAAAATTAAGTCTAAGGTAGAAGAATTGAGTAAATTAGAAGAAACTAACCTTAATGAGCTCAAAAAAGTTAAAAGATATAAGGAATATGGTTTATATTTATTAAATAGAAAGGAAAACTTACTGGGTGATATCGATAAATATGTAGAAAGAGATAAATTAAAAAATGAAAATAATGAAATGAAAAATGAGATAAGAAATTATATAACAGGAACTAATAAAATACAGAGTATTTTGTCGGAAACGGTGCAAATACTATTAGAGAATATTAAGAAAAATGAAAAATTGTGTGCATCTAATAATATAAAGGATTTCATTTCTCGCATTGTAAAGATAGCAGATGACACAAGAGAAAATTTCAAAAAAAGTTTTCCAGAAAAGGAAAAATTTTATCAAATAGAAAGCTATTATAAGGAGATTAAAGCCATTGTTAATGAGATCGATACAAATTCCGAAATAAACCTATTTATCGAAGATACAAACAAAAATATCCAAGACAGAATTGCAAGCACCCAAAATTCTGAAGACGTCGAAAAAATAAAAGAAGTAATAATTCATATAACGAATAATCACACAAAAGCAAAAGCTACGTTATCGCAAGTTAGTAACGCCTTGAATAGAATTAAAACAAAAAAAAAGGAGATGGATACATTATTTGTGTCATTATCCAAAGAACATATAAATAATTATAACTCTGCAAAAAATTTCATGAATGATTCGAATAATATAATTAAGATCTTTGAAGATCATTTAGGCAAAATATCAAGTTTAATAAAGTATTCTGAAAATGAAATTAATGAATTAGAAAAAAAAATGCATAATATATTAAATGCACCTGTTATTGATAATGCATCTGACGGTCAAAAGAAATTGCTAGGTGATATAGAAGAACAAAGAGAGAAATTATATGAAGAAGAAGTTCCAAAATTATCTCGAGAACAAAATAACTCGGATGAGAGCGACTTGAACGATGGTAACAATACTACTGAGAATAAAAATGGATATCATTCTAAACCAGGTGGGGATACGACAAGGATTTTATATGCACAAGTTATTTTGGGGCTATCTGTTTGTTATGGTATTGCATTCATTGCATTTAATCGGAATGATGAGGAAAAGATAGGTGATCATTCTCTAGATGAAGAATTTGAGGGTGGTGTTGCTTTTAATGGAGACGATAAGGAAGAAGTCATAGATGTTTGTTTTGACGAGAATTATGATTCTGAATAAGAAAATACATACTTAAACATATACAAATAGGCATAATGTATAAAAGCTACATTAAATAAAAAAATGATAAGAAATGATTTTGCATAAAGAACACTATATTAAAATATACACCAATGAAATGTATTTTCCATATAAAGCAAATACGAATAATTCTAATTTCAGAATCGCACAATAATAATTATAATATATAAGGGTATATTAATTCTGTTAACGTTAATAGATATATTTATCATAATATAATGAATACTGTGTGTTCATATATGCATGTAATATATTATGAACATACTTGTTAAAAAGATAAGGACGAACAATTGTAGCAAATAAATCACTGTTAATATATCAAATATCATTTTAAAAATAAAAACATACACTTAACATAAACCCTGAACCCTAAACCCTAAACCTGATATTTGAAAATATTAGATATGAGATTAATGGCATAATATTAAAAAAAGGTTGTAATGATAGTAATGGCCAAATATCTTCTTCACCCAATTCTCAAAATGAATCTCTCGTTTTATCTAGTTTTGACAATTCGGGTATTATTATAATTTCAACAGTTTTAATGTTATTAACACCCATGTTAGTATTTAATCTATATAAGGTTAAATATAAGTTATTATGCACATTTATGTAGTACCATGATTTTTTTAAGTAATATAGAAACAAAAAAAATTTTATTAATAAATTATATTCTTAATACATAATTTTTTTATTATTACGAATTAGTTCACCCCATATAATTCATGTTTAAAGCGTAGAATGAGTTAACTAATAAATAAGTGGAATAATATAAACAAAAAATGGAATATATTCGAGGCTTCTTAAATATACAGTGACATTTCAAGAAATAGTAGATATAATCTGTTACATAATTCTGGATATTTTTATAATTAAATATATAATTTGGGGAAAATACCATTGCTTAAAAAATGGACTGAAGAATATAGGTTAATTAAGTGGAGAATTATTCTATTAAGTATATAGAAAAAGAGCAAGATAATTTAAAGAACATAATAAAGCAAAAATAAATACTAATTTGTCAATATAATATAATAACTTTTAAAAAACATTACTTTATATTATCATAAATATTGAATAAAAAAAATAGGAATAATAAATATAATATGTACCTTGTTTTAAAAACAGTAGTTCACGTAAATAAAATACTTTTAAGTATAATTTAATATATTATAAGCAAAATAATAATAATTATATAGTATAATATGTCAAAATTATTCTAATAAGAAATTATGATAGTAATTGAATACTATTGATATAAATTCATTCTACATATATCAATGCTATTTCATAATATGATATTATCGAGAAATCATTTAATATAATATGTGCACATACCAATAATTAATTATTAATTATACCTTTATTATTATTTTTATAGCATTTCTCAACACTAAGGGTATCATTTGTCCCTATATTTAAGTCATCAATATGTGTAACTTTATGATACCAAAGTTTTTTGTATATACAAGAACAGAAATTACAAAATATTATTTATTATTTACGTTTTTTCTTCGCCTTGTATTTAGTTATTTTTTTCCATTTTACACTTTTTTTTTTGTGTTTTAATTAATGTCAAAATTTTTTACAATTTATAAAATACCATGATAAATTTCACTGTATACTATTCAACAGGGGATAAATTAAAATATAAACATATACTTATTTAAGACATTATTAAATGTCAAATAGATTGATATATATTCATTAAATCGATAAATCATTAAATTGCATTATTTTTCACGTTTAACACGAATATTCATTAAATTAGATTAATATTATATTTTCTAATATACTTCATGATACATTTTTTTTTTTTTTTTTGTAATAGCATAATTTGTGGCAGTATGATATTTTGATTAATTTTTAATTATATTTTGTTCCTTAACTTTTTTATTATTTTAATTACATTATCACGTCCTAGCATTTAAATGTGATAATACACTGCATCATTACTAAAAATGACATCTTTTTTTGAATTTACATAATCAATATCTCATTCGTATCTAATTTTATGAAATTTTCTGTTTTTCTATTTAAGGTGAAGACTTTTTGGTTTAAAAATTTATATTAGATTTAATATTCATTATTCTTAATTGTGATAATCTACAACAAACACATACCAGTAATAATTACAACAAGTAAAACAAGTTTTTACTTTAACGTATTTATTAATCTCTCACAAAAATATATATTCACTTTTACTCTATGTAATGTTTGCATTTTGGTTTTTTTGTAACACCTATATTTCATTATTTTTTTACATTTTGCGCCATATCACGGACTGTTCATGTAACTCAACTAGTATTTAGTTTCACAAAAATCTTCTAAAGAAGAGGAAAGTGTTTTAAGGTTGTAAATATAGAAAATGGCATCATGAAGGATGATATATCTATAATAGAATTCCCCCGTGTGTTAATCTATGGAATCCAATTCGAACTCAAAATTTGATAAGTTTACTTGTAAAAGCACATTTTGTCTTTTAATTAATTTAATTTTATTTTCATTTTATATAAAGTTGTTCATATGCAGGAGGCCAATATATAAAAAGAACGGAATAAAATTATTTTATAAATATTAATATTACTTAAATAAAATATAAATACGAAGATAAAACACTTAAATAATTATTTATTATTTTCTATTTTCATGATAGAAAATGCTTAAGAATAAATTTTTTCCTAATATTGATGTAACTATAACAAAATGATAAAAATAATAAGAAATTAATATATCATAGTACATTTCTATATTACTGGAAACATCATTGCTCTTTCTCTTGATTGATTAATTAAAATAGCCTAAGCATGTTATATGGTTTCATTAGACTTAAGTTAAGTGTTAAATTATTATGTGAAATAATATCAAACACATGTTTTGAGGTTCCTATACACATAAAGCCTTAACATCATTTGTACTTAATTTCTCACGTAAGCGCTTCGAAATGGCCAGAACAACATTTGAGACATATGCTAAATCATAAACTAATTATAACTTACAATGTAATTCAATAATTTCATTTTAAGAACAAACTCTATATCAATAATAATACACCATATAAATAGTTTGAATGTGAAAGACATAATTTAAATACATTTCATAGATGTTTTTTATGACAATTATTACTTTAGATATATTTATAACTTTCAAAGTAATCATGCTGGTTTTTCTCCTTTTCCCAATGTTCTCCTTCACCTAATTCATAGTATCGGAGTGGTTTAAAATTGAGATGAATCTTAATGAACAGTGATACTGAATTAAAAAGTTTATCACTAACAGATTTATTTTCTGGTTTATCCTTTATACAGTACTTTTTCTCTGTATTATAATGGAACATGGGTTTGTAGTAATATCCACCATTTTTACGTTTTTTGTTCTGTTTTTCATATAATTTTTTTAAATATATTGACGTTTTGATGCAAAGTAATTCATACCATTTATCACACTTTTCATGGTAATAGTAGTAAATATCTCCACTATTTAAGACTATTACATTACCTATTTCTTAATATTTTAGATGTACAAATAGATTTCGTAATTTGTCATCACGCTATGTCGAAAAACGTTAACGGAATGTATATTTATATGCTTTCCCTAATGAGATAATTTCTTTTTCTTTGAGAAGTATATAGAACATGAAATTAGTTATCTATTTGCAAATGTTTTATAAAAATTTAACTTCTATCATTTAACTTCTAAAAATTCCATCATAAATTAAAACACTATAAAACAATATAATATTTTTTTCATATCCCTCTTATTTACATGTGAAAAATTAAAATATTTTTTATTAATATATCTATTTGTCTTTTGTATTAATATAGAAAAAATAATAAAATAATAAGACTACTATCTGATGTTTGTTTCAGGTTCAGATGCGTCGTGCAATAAATATAAAACATAAATTTTAGATTATAACTAAATTACAAAAAATGTTAAGAGTATTATAACCCCCACAGAATGCAACATTGTATAACAATTTATTATTTTGTAAAATTTTAACCTGTTATATGCATACTATATTTCTATTAATAATTCGCAACAAAAGTAAAAATAATTCTTATTCATCATGCATACAAACAACTACATTTATTAGATTATTTATTTTACTATTCTTTTTTTTTTCCCTTTTAAATTTTGTCTAAATAAAAATAATATTTTTCACAATAAGCTTATTTTCTTTTATGAAATTATATGATGAACAATTTCTTCAGGTAGAACCAGTTGATTTGTGTTCATTTTTTCATGACTAATTTCAGTAGAATCTATGTTTTTACGTTTTAAAAAATATATAATCCATATTCTTACAATATGAGGTGAATTTCTCTGAAATAAACAATTTTTCTTAAGTTCATATAATAAAAATATCGTGAAATTAATTACTATTAATTTATGTTTCTTACTTTAAGTATTATGAAAATTATTAGAACGAAAAAAAATTAGTTACACTATATTTATAAATAGTATATATAGAAATAAAGAAAAAAAAAAACTATATAAATCGATTAGTTCAAACTTCATAGTATAAAAGTTACTAGAACAACATTATTTTAAGCTGTGAATCCCTTTTTTTTTTTTTTTTTTCATATTTTTTCGTATAGGCAAAATATCATTATTTTTTTTTTAAATTTTGGGGTTTTTTATTTAATATTTTAGTATTGTAAATTTTAATTTTTTTGTAAATGTATAATAAGTTAATGGCTGGGAAAAATTATAAATATAGTTAATTACAATTCTATTTATTGAATTTAATTACAGAGTCTATTAAGGAAATGTAATTTAATTCTAATATTTTGCGGTACATCTATAACAGAATAAATTATACGTTGTAACGAAAATGTATTTTCATTCAAGAAATCAAATATACAGTTAAGAAGCTATTTTTAGGTAATGCAACATCATATATGTACATTAAGAAAAAATAGAAATATTCATTATTTTAGAGAGAAGATATATCCAAATTATATTAATTATTAAAAAGACATTTGAATAGTAAATAATTTTACAACTATAAGACAAATTCAGCAAAATTACAAATGTTATTTATTTCTTAACATAAGAAACGTCGTGCATTTTAACATATATCACCGTGACACAACAATGACACATGCATAAATACTTAAAAATTAATTTTGAAAAAAATGAAACTACATTGTCAGTTTTAGATAACATTATTTATAGTATATATACTAATGTCAAGATGAAAAGCGTGGGTATTATATGCAAAAAAATACATAACGACAAATATGCGCCTTGCATTCAACGATAAAGTATTTACGTAGTAATTTACTGAACACATTTTACTTCATCTGCTAGTGTTATTAAAATTAAGGAAACAGGTTTAATTGATTTATATACATTCGTGAAATATACTTATTTTTTACGTTCACTGAGTTTCAAGCTTATACTGAGGCAAATCGGAACATGCTATGCATATGCTTCCGAGTTCAAAGATATAATACATCTTCCTACAAATAGTTATGTAGATTCAAGCTTCATTCATTTAAATTGTTCATATATACACAATTTAAACATTATATTGCTGTATTAAAAAGTAGTATTTCTCATATGAATACGTAGTAATGTGTGCTAACATAATATCATATAACAAAAATATAAAATTCAGTACTACAGATCTGTCTATCTATATAAATAAAGTGCTTTTGGAAATGATTTATAAAAATCGAAAAAAAAGGAAAAATTCTATAATTATGATTAATCGTTGAATATGACTGAAGTAGTTTTTGAAGTTTCCTCAGATTATGATTCTTTGGGTAACAGTGCCTGTTTATTAATATATTATAATACAAAAGCTGAAATTAATAAGAAAATTGATGATTTAGGGAAGTTAGAGGATGGTAATCTCATTTCAGAAAAGTGTTCTGAAATAGATAAATATTTAGAAGAAGAACAATTAAAAAACAGTTTTTGTTTTAAGGATAGTTTCATATCACATTTTGTGGATATTAAAGATAAAATAAGGAATTTATTAGAAACATCTAATAAATATTCTAAATGCTTTATAAAATTAACATCTAGCAACAAAAGACACAGTGAATTAAAAAATACATTATATGATGTTCGCGAAGAGGACGGAACGGAGTTGGATGTAGAAAAAGGAAATTCTAGAACAAAGATCAAATCTGTAGAAAGTTCAAATGAACAAGTATTGGAAAGAGATAACTATTCAGCAAAAACAGAATCTGAAGATACAAAACAAGAGTATGATAATGAATCTAGATTAAGCAGCACACAAATTACTTCAGAATCCTCCTCAGGAGCTAATTTACTTGTTAATGATCATGATTCTACTCGGTCAGAAGGAACGTATGAAAAGGCTCGTTCTGCTGACCTTAGCCAAAACAATGGTTCTTTACACGACAACCATCCCCATGGACAGTCAAAAGCTGAACGAGATGAAGCGCAACCGAGTGTTCCGTCTTCACGAAACATTTCTTTTCATGATCCACTATATGTACCCAACTCTAAACCTAATAAAAACAGAATTGGTATTTTTAGTGCGTCATTTTCCCATGATGGTACTAAATGTGAAAATATGAATAATACAAACTCAAAAAGTGACGATGAAGAAATCATTATCATTAAGCTCCGTAACTGTGAAAGTAATGATGTTGAATATGAATTTGTTGATGCCATAAATAATAAAACTCATATGAGTGCTTCTCCAAATGTACATGTGTCACAAAATATTCCATATACCCAGGAAATTAAATTAGCTGTTTCACCTTCTTTTGAAGAGCCATTAACTCGTAATCATACATCTCCTGATGAAGTGGCAAATGGTGAACAATCAAGAAGTTGTGAAGAACATTTATGTAGAGAAGGAACAGAAGGAACGGGAAATCTTCAAGATACATCTAGTTTAATAAAAAAACCTTGTTGTAAGTATCCCAAAACTCTACAAGCACAGAAAGAAGCAACAGAAAATTCACAACCTAATAGCATTTGTAATGAGAGCAGTTGCAAAGAATCATATATAAACCAAGAGGACGGTCGAAATCATCAGACTAAAGAAGTAGGTACAAAAGTAAAAACAAGCACTCAGGACATTTCCAGTAACGATTCAAGAAATGGAGTATATATTATGGAAGATTCGATATTAGTAACAACAGAAACATCTCATGAAATATTTTCCATAAGAATGTATATAGTAATTACTACAATAATTGTTGCCGGAATTCTGTTATTTTTCCTGATAAAAAAGGTGAAAATCATCATTTATATTAAAAATATGATTAGCATTTTTACAATAATATACTTTAATTAAAATTTAACATTTAAAAATTTTTATTTCTTGTATTACAGTACACACCATTGGGGACTTTGTTCAATAAGAAAAAAAAAAAAAAAAAAAAAAGAAATTGAAAAAAAATTGGAACGAATATTATCAGGAACAGCAAATTTTGAAGAAAAAGTTATCCTTATGCCGTATAGCTATTCATAATGTGAAGAATGTAAAAATACGTAAGAAATATGAAGAAAGCATTGATAAACATAAATAACGAATAAAAATTTATCAGTGCAATATAGAACAAGTTATAAAAGCTTTCAGAGTAAAACACACCTTGAACATTTATCCTAGAGAAGAAAAAATGAATAATTCAAAATTTAGAAAAAAAATAAGCATTATTTTTTAGGTTATGATAACATAGCATTTTGATAAATGTTTTTTAAAGTGTTATTATTATTGTATAAAAATAGAATTGAAAGGGATTAACTAAAATTACATAGAGTATTATAAATGAAGGCAATTAAATTTGTTTATTTAAACGTGAAGACAATTGTGATAATATGAACATATAATAAAAATCATTTTAAATGAAGTTGAACTATTTTTGGAAATTATATATATAGGGGAATATGCATTTTTATATGAAAATTTAATGTTTTATTGAATGCACCTTTTTTCAACCATTTTAAAAAAAGCTTTGAGAGTGCTTTTTTGCCACACATATAACCATGCTGTACGGTCTTGATTTACTTTCATCAGACACTAATTTTTTTTTGTTTATATTATGTTATAAAAGGAATATTCAACATTTTTACAATTAATATTTTATATTTTCATGTTCGAATATATTTTTTTAGTAAAATCTCAAGCATGTGATCAAGTATAATTTGATATTAAATTTTTAATGGATTACTTTTTTTATATATAGAAATTACCATAAAGTAATATGTGTTCTGAAATGAATATTTTCATTGCACATGCTAAAATATAGCATCTATACTATCAAACACTATTTATCTTAATCGTAAGTATATGTCTGCGTCAATTATTCTTTTTTTTGTTGGTAGATAACAAATACGTTTCAATATGTTTTCTTACATGTAAGCCTTAGTAAAAACAATGCTATTAAAAAAATGTAACATTATTCTATATAAATGTAGTGAAACATTATATTATTCCAATGAATTCTTAATAACATGAACAAATCTATATAATAAAAGATATTTCTTTGTAATCTTAATGGGAATTTCTTTCATTCCTAGTAATATAGAAATAGTCCCCCCCTGTTCCACAACAAAAAATGACAGTTGTATTACAATAATAAATAATAAACTATTATATAGTTTATGATTTAAGTAATAAATATAATTAGAACAATTCAATTGATCCTTAATGAATAGGATACAATATACTATTTGAATGCGCAATGCATTTGTATCAGTATAATTCTAAATATAATGGTTCATTTTTCCACATAATAAACTTATAACATTGTCAGAAATGAATTTTAAATTCTATATATTTTTAATATATTGTTAATATATAGCATAACAATTAAAAAGTAATATTTGAATAAACAACAAGCGCCGCAGTGTGCAGAAATTTTTAAAAATTATAATAAGTTCATATAAAATGTTTTATACAAATACACAAAAAATAATTAATGTTATAAATAATTATATAACCACAATATAATTATTTCCTAATAAATTGTAACAATATATATTTATATAAAATGTCAATGTTATTTCATTTAAAGCAGAACTATACTTCTACTATTTACTGTTATATGTTTTATAATAACAAAAGTTAATTTTTTTTTAAAAAGTGTATTATTCAGATTTATCACAATATAGGTTTTCATTTTCTATAATTTATTATATTTACTTATGTATTTTAATTCCCTGCTCTGTAGTGGCTATAATTTCAGAGAACAATTAGTGCAATTTTTTTCATGGCATATAATATATTGAATAAATAAGACAATTTTATAAGTATGACATATAATAATCTTCTTATATAAGCAAATTAAAATATATAAATTATATTTTAAAAAATATATAAAGGCATGAAAGAAAAAGATTAAATATGAATGAACATATTTTTTCTTTATTTATATTAATGAATAGTTTATAAAATATTTTGTTAATGTGGCTTAAAATGTTAACGAGCAAGTAATACGTGTAATATCATAAGGTTTAAGAGGAAATATATTAAAAAACATTAAAAAAAAAATGAAAAATTTACTAAATCAATATGTTCTCATTAAATTATGAATTATATTGTTTGTATAATCCTGTACACATGTAGCACTTTTCTAAAGACAATAATGTATATAAGAACATTATGCTTTATAGGAACAATATATGTGTATATTGTGCTAAATTTATGTATATCTTAAATATTAAAAGAATTAGGCACACTTCTTAAGAAGAATTATATATTTACATAATTCTTTACCCTATTGTTCCTCTATGGAAGAAGCATAAAATAGTTTTTATTACTATTTTTATATAAATTCATTCATATTATGTTTTTATACTATGTTTATTATAGCACTAAAATTTAAAAGTAAAATATAAATTAAGTTATATTTTTATGAAGTATATTTTATTATAACTTTTAAATAGTTACATTATATAGGTAATGTATTACTACATCATTTCCATGTGTTTTATTATATTTTTATAAATGAACAAATATTATTATATTAAATAATAGCTTCGGAGAAAATTCATCAGTATTGCACCCCTGTATCAATGGTATATATTTTAAATTATACACAATTTACGAGTAAAATCATGTGCATATCTTTAATTATAAAAATAAAGCATATTATATGAATCACACCAATTATTGTTTTATAAAAAATAATATTAAATATTTTTTTGGTTATAAGATTTGTAATAGTTTTTTCAGAGAACAATCCGTCATGATCTTACATAATCATTTACAAAACATGAATACAAACCATGATGGAAACCAGCCTTATTGTAAGTGATTATTAAGACATGATTATTTATTAATGTTTTCTAAATGTGTTGAGGATATATTTCATTGTATAAAAATTTATACTCACATAATGGATAAAGAAAATAATAATTGACCAGATAAATACTTGAAATATTGTTTACAAGAAAAAATAGAATAAAGTGAGAGTGATTCCAGAAATCTGCATATTCTGCATGATGCACTATAAAAATATAACTATTCTGTACATGAAAATTATAAGTGCTTTTTTCAAAAGGATACGGGTTTCTGTGTTTCTTGAATGAAAAAATTAATATAGCATCATGTAAAATATCTATACCTGCTTGATGATAAATAAAATAATGTGAAATATCATGATTAACTTATATTCTCCACTTAGGAGTTATCCGAAGTATTATAGCAATTCATTTCATGATTATTTAAAAAAAATATATATGAAAAAGTGTTAATACACTTTAAAACAGAGTATCATGAAAATTTTGAATTCATTAAATATAATTATCCCTATACATTTATGTATGACAGAGCGGAGATCAATACATAACTGAAGAATTATGCTTTCGTAGCCTGGAAAATTAGGAAGAGAAAACACGCGTCCGGTTAATTTCAATAGTTCCATTTCGTCAATGTTTCCACACTTATTTGCATGATTAAAATAACGCTTCTAGATATATTAGTCCTGTAAATTCTCTTGAATAACCTTTAAAAAGAGTATTTTTATTTTTAGCTTCAAAGTTATCAATATTTATGATTTTATTTGTACAGAATAATGTTTATGCCTAATTGAAATATACGAACATGATAATAAAATTTGTACATAATGCTCCCATTAATAGAAATATATCACATATACGTTATTTCTTAAATTTACAATTATCCTTATTTTTTGTTTATTAACACCAGTTTACTTCATTCTGGGAAGGAGTATATCATGGATTCAGGAACGAGAAAAAATTACGGAACTACTTAGATCAATAAACGTATTATACACAGCACCGTTCCGAAATATTGAATATAAATTCGAAGAGAAAAATTGCACTGTTTTGTTTATCATTCTATAGATCATCCTTATTCTAATATAACGTTAAATTATATTATGTAATATAAATACTACGAAATGAAATACAAAAAATTAAAAATAATTTAATCCATCACAAATATTACACCAAAAATATAAGCATTAATATTGGGGTTTATAAATGTAAAGCACCAAGATACATTTGTAAAAAAAATGTATAATTATTTATATAATGTAATAAAAAAAATAATAGGTGATACAATAATAAGATAAAGCAATATAAAATTATGTTTCTAGTAAGAATCGCTTGACATAAACATTGCAGTGATTTATAGAATAATAAGTGCACAAGTCTTCACAAATAGGTAAAACAAAAACACCTATTACTACTATGCAGCTCTTATTTACGTTACAGTCTTGCATAATGTAATAAAAATAGATACAACTCCATTAGCTTAGAAAATATTCCTATTATGTATGTAAACAAAAATATTATCAATACAGTATTGATAAATGACATTTATTTATTATAACACTATATGTGCAAACTATAAATAGTATTTGATATATGTTTATAAGAAATATTCTATTATGATAAAGGTGTGGATATAATATACACAATAAATAAAACATAAAATTTCTGAAGACATTTGTAAATCTAAAAGGACATATTTACACAATGAGCCAATATTTTACTAATAATTACATTAAGATGAACATCATTAATACAAGGAAATATCAATATATGTAAATAATAACATATTTATAAATTTATGTAAGAAATTACTTGAGGTATCAGGTGTGATAGAATATTGATTTTTTCTTATATATACTTTTTAAAATAAAAAATATATAAGATATGATAATTTACACAAATATGAAAAATAATGGAATTTACGTTAAGGTCTTTACAATGTGTATATAATTTATATATAAAAAAGTTGTTTAATTTTTGAAAGTTTCATAATTCATAATTTATTTTTTAGTTTTTAATAGATGTTTTGTATATATTATATGAACATTTTTATGCACGTTATATAATTTAAAATTTTATTACTGAAATATATATTTTCATGTTATATATTAATTATAAAATTTGAAGTTCTTCCTAATATCTTTAATGCGTTAATAAAATCTTATTATCTTACAACAGATCATAGTTTTATTTTCTTTAGTATACTATGAATAAACTATATTATATATATATATACATATTATTTATTGCCCAAAATAATAGCATCTTTTTATGAAATGTAATTTATGTTACACACATATGGATTAAAATTAATAAATAATGCAAAGAAATATAATTACTTTTATACCTGATTATCAGCTACGTGAATAATTTATACATGGTTATGTAATTTACACATACTTAACTTAGTGTTTGCTTGTGAAAATATTATTTAAATAAAAAAATTAAATATGTGTTATAGTATACATTTCCTTGATATTAAAAAGCTCAACTCTATCCAATTTTTTGAGTGAAAAAATTATGGACTTTTTTAATAATTTTTAATTTAATTTTAAATGTAATTAACTGAGCACTGGGCTTACATCTACACCATCTCTACAGTAATGCCACAATTATATATAATAAACACATGGTATGGTATAAGATGTGCAACACTATAAATATATCTAAAAAATATATTAGGGTTATTTTATTTCTCTCTATCTTTAAATTAGATATTCATATATGTAGAAATTATTCCTTGAAGTTACAATGTTTCATTATATAACAAGGAGTTGTATAAGATTAAAAATATTTCATACATTTTAGGAGAAAAATTATTGTATTAAATCTGAAAATAAAAATAAAAAATATTATTAATGCATTTTAAAAATATTATGTGTGTAGTATATAATATATACGTTCATTTTAATGTAGATTTCTTAATGTTTGTTAAAGATACAAAATAACTTACCTTTGCTATATTTCAGAGGTAGGAAGAGATATTCATAATATGTTTATGCCATACTTCTTGCAGTTGTGATAAAATTTGCCGTATATATATACAACATTCACAATAAATATAAACCTGTAAATACGTGGTTACAAAAATACATTAAATTTCTACTTTAAATAATATAATTGAACAAAATAGAACAAACTTGATACATTTTGTTTAAGAGTTTATTTCTCAAATGCTCATATTCTTAATAACCCCCATTTGAGTGGTGTAAATTTTTTAATTAATAGTGTATTTATTTTTAATCATTTAGTCCTATATAAGTAATACGTTGTTATTATTGTTTATGAATTATAAATTAATATTAAACAAGGATAATTAGTATTAAGCAATATATATAAAAGTGTAAAGAATGAAAAAAGTAATAAGTTCTCAAAAAAATATAATCTAATGTAAAAGATCATCTTTAATATATTATAATTATATTCATTTATATAAATATTTTAATTTCAATTAAGGACATTTAAATAAATATAGTAGGACAATATGTGAACTATATTAATACACATTACACTTAATCTATTATAGTAGTGTTATACGTGTAGCAATACTGAATATTTTTTTATTATTTAATACAATTGCAAAATCATAAATATAATATTCAAATTGTGAATTTATATAAAAATATTTTCACCTTGACACGAACCAATAATATTACTGTATGTTACAAAATACCAAATATTCTATAAGGATACAAAATTTTTAAAATTAATATATATAGTATTAATATAATATTTATTTTTACCTTTTCAATACATTACTATTTATAATAAAAAGGAAAAAACAATTTTTCATATTAATGTATATAAATAAAGTAAAATGGGTTCCAATAATCATACAACTAAAGACGTATGTATCTTCCTGTTATTAAAATTACATCTTATGTTAATTGATTTTAAAACACAATATTTTTGAGATAAGGAAATAAATGTGTTCTTAGGAAATTAACTTAAATTATATTAAATATTATTTCTTTCATTTTTAGTATGCTTTTGATGATATATTTCCCCAATGTAGAAATTATTATATTGACTCTAAAGCAATTTATAATGATAGTAATGCTGCGGATCTAAATAAAGCTTTGTCTGAGGAGTGCAAAAAATTTATTACTGAAGATCCCCATTATACATGTGGCGAAAACTATTTTTTGGACACATGCATATATCTGGGTCGTTATTTACATTATATAGAAAGTAAGCATTCTGAACAAGCAAATGGTAAAAGGGAAATGTGTAGATACTTCAGTTACAAGCTAAACCAAGAATTAAGAAATTTTGGTTGTGTTTTTGCAAATACTAATGTTGCTTACGAAAAAATGATTAACTTACGTCATAGTTATAATGGAGATAAAAAAACATTTTCAGATGTGTGCAAAGATAACATTGATAACCTTGATGAAGATATATTACATATATTTCATTATCTAGATAAATTATATGAAACTATTGAAAATATTCAAAATTATCATTTTGAATGCAATTACCATATTAACTTATATGAAAGATATAGGGAATATTTAATAAAATCTCAATTTATAAATAATGAAAGTTTTAATAAAGTACTTCAAAATGCTGAAAGGGATTATAATATATACAAGAAGAATATGAAGGATTGTAAAGATTACTCTCATATTTTGCCAATTTTTCCTAGAACCGTTATAAACCACTGGTTAGGGGTAAGTACAGGAATGTGTATTTTACCCCTTGCAATAATATTAATTATATTCATGATGTACAAGGTTATAAATATCATTATTTATTAAATTTATATATTATAATAATTTATATTAAATATTATTATGAAATGTTTATAACAAATAAATGATCCATTGATTGGTGCATCATATATGTTCTCTAATATTAGTATACCCCTTATGGCTATTATCTAAATCCATGGATAAGGAAATTTAAGAGAGTTTTTAAAAGAAAAATTAAAGAGCGTGTCAATTTAATAAAATCATTTGAAAGGACATATAAAAATTCAAATTATAGAAATCATCTAATATTTTATACCTCAGAACAGTATTATTAATAAGCTTATATACACAGCTAACGAATTCAAGATTTTTTAAGTTAATAAATCAATATTAATTGAAATTGTCTTTGTAATAAAATAAAAATACACTCATACGAACGCAAATATATTAAGGAATTATGAAATTATGAAAAATTTAGCATAATATTTCTAAAATTTAAATGAAGTATAAAATATAACTTAAAATATATTGATAGATAGTGAAAATAATTAAAGTAATTATCAAAAGATAGGAGAATTTTATAATCTATAAATATAAAATACAAGTAATTAGGTAATGTACTTATGTAGATATAGGTAAGTATAATTTAATATATTAATTATATTCATAGGAGACAAAATATGGAATGCAATAATTTATACTTATATTTAAGTAAAAGTTGAAAAAAAATTAATACACTTACTATAAAAATAAGATAAGTATATCAGGACATCATATTGAATATAAAAAATATTTGTAACACAAAAAAGAAAATGTGTTGAAAAAAAAAATGCTAAAAATTACTTTTTGAAAAAATCTGAGAACTCATGAAGAAGGTAAGAAAAGTTCAAGAACAATAATATTTCTAAATGAAGTATATAAATCTTACATCATAACAATGATAAAAAAACACCTGTATTAACAAAATGTACATCTAATTTTTGCGGATACCCTACCATTTAAGTAAGAAATGAAAAATATCTTACTTGAAATTGTTTAAAAGATAAATGTCTCATTTTTTATGTAATAATATTAAATATATAAAATAATAATTATAATGTATTTATAATATCAGGTTAATTAATAAAAAGACACCACATTATTAATTTAATTATTGCATGATCATTATAATGGCTTAATATAATATATATAATTGTAGTATTTATATATGAATGTATAATTATTTATTCTCAGTCTACATATATAATAAATATATAGAACATATATAAAGTTATATTTAACTGTTTGTTGTAAAATTTGTAGTTTAATTATCATTCATAATATTAGAATATATTAAAGTAGAGAAATAATTTTACGTTATTATTTGTATTTTGCATAAAAAATAGTTTTTAATGAAAAAAATTTTGTTCAAGGTTGAAGTACCATGAAATCATTTTGTAAAATATATAATGTAAGAGAGATATGTGCACAAAATAGGCAAATAAATAGAATATGTATTTATATGCATTGCACGAATACTATTAACATTTAACGAAAAAAACATTTTCAGCTCTTATGTAAAAATTTAATTGTTATATTTTAAAATGGTTCATCTAAAATATAGTAAAGTAAGTATACATTATATTTATTTCGTTATATATAATAGCATCATTAAAAATGTGATCATTTTGTATCATATTCTGTATTGAAGATATGTAATATACATTAAAAATATGTTATTGTTCCATATAATTGTATTTATTATTGCTTGTAAATTAATATACAAGTAAAACTAAGTTCCGAAGAATAAGATAAAAGAACAAAATGATTAAACAAATTAACCGATTACATTTTTAACTACCCCCTGGTGCAACATGTATACGCTTATTTAAAATATATGAATAAAGTAAAAGATAAATATAGGTGTAAATAAAATTTATGCGTACCTATAATTAATATAAAATAAAAGTAAATTGTGAGAAGAATATGTAAAGAAAATAAAAGGCATTCATTAATTTAAGACAGAAAAAGTAATGATCTATAGTATCACTTTAACTAATGACGCATTCATATAGGTTCATTATATTTATTTCATTCATATATTCTATACAAGCTCATTATGTCCGCATCTGTAATATGAATTTCACCTTCAACACATTTTTAGTATACTATATAATATAGAGGATAACTAAGATATTAATGCGAAACATTTAATTTCTAACAGAACGAAGCAGAATCATTTTATATATGTACATTTATTATCTGTGTTCATTTTACATAAAAATATCTCTCTTCTTTTGCATAACGCTTAAAATAATTATTCTAATATTTGAGCATTTACCAAATAAATATACATTAAAGCCAATTTATAATTAAAAAGTTAGTATAAGCTTTGATAAGTTTTTCTATTATCATATATAAGAATTATGTAAGACATATATAAACTCTAAATATTAATACATAAATGAAGAATAAACAACAAAGATGATTTTATTACTATTTTTACATATCAGCATATTAAACAAATGTGCATTATTCTATAAATAATATGATATTAATAGATTATTTCAAACATAATGATGTTAACTCAATGTTAATAAACATAGGTCATATTTCAGTTATAAATAAAAATATAATAATATTAGAATTGAATAATTATCATTTAGTATGTTTAAAGTTATTATAATACTAACATATTAGAATTATTTTGTAATGTATGCTATTTGTGTGGTTTTCACTAAATATCAGTAACATATTTTAAATATAGAATCCATAAATAAATGTTTAAAAATAGTAATAATTTTATCACTTTTTCTTTGGAATTTTTTATATAAATTTATTATAATTCCATTATAGTTCAGTAAAAAGGACCTACAATAGAGAAAAGTGTATTGCCTAGCTCATTTGAGATTGAATTCTCAATATATGCTTAAATAAAATAGAAAATTTCATTACCTGTTTGTTTATGTAGCCTACTATATTACATTATAATAAATATGGTGAATATATGTATTTATATGAATAATGTATTTTTTCTGGGTTCAGGTTTAGGGTTCAGGGTTTAGGGTTCAGGGTTTAGGTTTAGGGTTCAGGGTTCAGGGGTTAGGTTTAGGGTTTAGGGTTTAGGGTTTAGGGTTCAGGGTTTAGGGTTCAGGGTTTAGGGTTTAGGGTTCAGGGTTCAGGGTTTAGGGTTCAGGGTTCAGGGTTTAGGGTTCAGGGTTTAGGTTTTAGGGTTTCAGGGTTTAGGGTTCAGGGTTCAGGGTTCAGGGTTCAGGGTTCAGGGTTTAGGGTTCAGGGTTTAGGGTTCAGGTTTCAGGGTTCAGGGGTTTAGGGTTCAGGGTTTAGGGTTCAGGGTTCAGGGTTCAGGGTTCAGGGTTCAGGGTTCAGGGTTCAGGGTTCAGGGTTCAGGGTTTAGGGTTCAGGGTTTAGGGTTCAGGTTAGGGTTTAGGGGTTAGGGTTGGTAGGTTTCAGGGTTAGGTTTAGGGTTCAGGGTTTAGGTTAGGGTTCAGGGTTTAGGGTTCAGGGTTTAGGGTTAGGGTTTAGGGTTCAGGGTTCAGGGTTTAGGGTTAGGTTTAGGGTTCAGGGGTTAGGGTTAGGGTTAGGGTTCAGGGTTTAGGGTTTCAGGGTTTAGGGTTCAGGGTTAGGGTTTAGGGTTCAGGGTTTAGGGTTCAGGGTTTAGGGTTTAGGGTTAGGGTTAGGTTAGGGTTTAGGTTTAGGGTTCAGGGTTAGGGTTTAGGTTTTAGGGTTTAGGGTTTAGGGTTCAGGGTTAGGTTAGGGTTCAGGGTTTAGGGTTTAGGGTTCAGGGGGTTCAGGGTTAGGGTTAGGGTTCAGGTTAGGTTTAGGTTAGGTTCAGGGTTTAGGGTTCAGGGTTTAGGGTTTCAGGGTTTAGGGTTTAGGGTTCAGGGTTCAGGGTTTAGGTTAGGGTTAGGGTTCAGGGTTTAGGGTTTAGGTTTAGGTTGGTTTAGTGGTTAGGTTTAGGGTTCAGGGTTCAGGGTTAGGGTTTAGGGTTCAGGTTAGGTTCAGGGTTCAGGGTTTAGGGTTCAGGGTTTAGGGTTAGGGTTCAGGGTTTAGGGTTCAGGGTTTAGGGTTCAGGGTTCAGGTTTAGGGTTAGGGTTTAGGGTTAGGTTCAGGGTTTAGGGTTTAGGGTTAGGGTTTAGGGTTCAGGGTTTAGGGTTTAGGGTTCAGGGTTTAGGGTTAGGGTTTAGGGTTTAGGGTTCAGGGTTTAGGGTTCAGGGTTCAGGGTTTAGGGTTTAGGGTTTAGGGTTCAGGGTTAGCGGGTTTAGGGTTCAGGGTTATGGTTCAGGGTTAGGTTTAGGGTTTTT